CCTTGCTCCTAGTAGTATGGCCAGGAGCCCCCAGTAGCGTCCTTGCTTCCATAAGATTCCAAGCGTTTCATGGTCAGCCAAGACTCGGATCGTTGTTTCCGTTCGGCCGCAAGGAATACCAGAAGACCACAGTGCCCACCTCCGGACGAACCTTGAGGCCATCCTTGCAACTGTGCACGTCCTGGGGCTGACTCCGCCAGTGCGGTTTTGGTGTTGGAACTATGCCCCTGCATGTGTTCCTCTCTTAATTACAGTATTCTGAATTCAGTTCACACTTGCGCATGAAGCATGCATACATTTGATTTCTTTCGATGGCCATTCATCTCACGAGGGCCCTTGAGTACAGCTAGTTGCGCTACGACCTTTCAGGTTTGCGGAAAATCAGGTGTCAGACTTCGTTTGCTGATCACTGTCGAGTTTAGATTGGTAGCGGGGCAGGTGACGCTCCAGATAGTCGGTCCTACGGTTGACCTTTTTGTTTGCCGAGATCTTTTAGATCCCAGTGAAAGTTGAGGGTAAGTTCATTGCCTTTGACCCATGTCGGGTATGGAAAGGAGTCCGAGGCGAACACCTGTTCGTCGTGCCAGGACAACGATGCCTGGACCTTCAGATGGTGGTGGAAGAGGACCTGGTGTTCTTTTCGCCAATGTTGAAAGAGATGAGCCCGCCATTCAGTTGCCCTTCACTCCTCAACATGGCCGAGGACTTGATTCAGGATTGGCGAAGGCATGTCCGTCTTCAGAGAATTTGACCCAGAAGACCTATCGAAGTTTTCGGAGACGCTTAGAGTTGTTCAAGAAGCAGTGTGACCGTCGAGGACGAGACACAGCAGTGGAAGGCGCATTCCTTGTCATAAGTCGCCTTCGTGATGTTGCCTGGGGTGCCACAGAGCAGTTGAGTTTTGATGAAGTTGAGACGGCAACAGATCCTTTCAAATTGTTTTTTCGTTTGCTTGACGAGCTCTACCAGTATGAGGATCTCATTGAGGTTCCTTCTCCGACTTCAGTCGCAAGAAAGGAGAAGAACTACAGGCCTACTTGATTCGGCACAGGACACTTTTGAAGCGCATGCGAGAAGTGAATGTCGAGGTTCCACCTTTACTTTCTGGTTGGCACCTTCTCACCAGAGCTGGAGTTCCACGCTGGACCCATGATCAAGGCCATGTGTTCCGGTGATCTTGAGTATGAGAAGGTTGGAAAGGCCTTGATCCGCATGTTTGGTGGTGACCATGTGCCGAATGCTCGTGACCTGGGCGCTCGATCCACTACGTCTTCGAAGGAGGAGGTCTATGTGGAAGAAGAAGATGAATGGTATGATGATGGAGATGGTTATGCCAACGATGGAGATTGGTATGACGATGAAGCCTTCGAAGCCGATGAGTATGAAGAAGATGATGAGCCCATTCCAGAAGAGCTTGAAGAGGCTATGGAGTTGACCGATGAGGCCTATGTCTCCTACATCGAAAGCAGAAAACGGATGAAGGAGTTGGCTCTATCCAGAGGTTTCTATCCAGTGGTTGCTCTTGGACCAGACTATGATCGTGTTATCGACAGTGACTACGCTATGGAACATCCTCATGGTGCGGAATCTTGGGAGACGGAAACCTTGCAGAGCATGCGTGGCTACTTCGAAGGCATCTGCAATAGGTGCCGAACTGGTCTTTACTACAAAGATGAATACCAAGAAGGACCTGTTCGCAAACAGACACGGGTTCGAACCAGTTCAAGAGAAGTAGCAGAAGCCTTGAATCTTCCCTGCACTTGCACCAAGCCTCATGTACAAATGGATGGCAAAAGCAGAGCACTCCATGACATGCAGAACTACGAGGCCAAGTTCACGCAGATTGCAGGAAAAGCCATTTACAAGGTGATGGATGACAATTGGATGAAGAAAGAGATAGCCAAGATCTTGGTTGCTGAAGAGACTGAGGAAGAGAAGAAGACCAAGAAGGTGACGGATGATGAGATGAAAAGATCAAAGACTCAAAAGAGTGCTGCCCTATCAATTGTGGCAAAGCTGCACCGGCAACTTGGTCATCCCGGACGAGATCGTTTGCTGGTGGCATTGAGAGAGTCCGGCATGAATGAGGAGATCATTGAGGCTGCCAAAAGCTACACATGTGACATTTGCCAGAATTTCATCAACAAGAAGCCAGCCAAGCCCTCCTCACTGCCTCAAGCTCAGAAGTTCAATGAGCTGCTTGAGATGGATATTTTCCACATCAAGTGGGACGACAAGAAACTCAAAGTCCTTGCGATCATTGATGTCTTCTCCCGCTATGAGATGAACGCAGCTGTAGAGGCAGAGACGGAAAAGGCTGAACTCAGTGTGCTGGATTCCTGGATCAATGTCTTTGGCTGCCCTCAGAAGATCAAAACGGATGCATCAGGAGGTCACATGAGTGAAGCCTTCCTGAGCTACATGGATGACAGGAACATCAAGCTGATCCTGGTGCCCAAAGATGCTCACTACAAGATGGGAATCGTGGAACGTTTGCATGCAGTGAGGCGTATGCAACTCCTGAAGATGAAGATGGAGAAACCTACATTGAGTTTGGACGTTGCTGCACCTATAGATCCTATAGCATGTTCCATGAGGAATCAGCTTCGGTCGATCCACGGTTCTTCCCCATCGCAGATTGTCTTTGGCACAAATGCTCAAGAGGCAGGCTTGATGGACGAACCAATCGTCAATGCAGCAGATCCATCCAAACGACATCAAGAAGTCCGAGAACTACGAGTCACTGCAGCAAAATCCGTCTATGAGGCAAATTATAGTCACACATTGAGGAAAGCTCTTTTGAGCCAGAGCCAGAGTCGAGCCGTTGTTCCTCAGCATTTTCCTGGCGAATGGGTGTACTATTGGCGTGAAGGTGATTCAAAGCTTGAAGTCAGTCGTTGGCGTGGCCCAGCATTGGTTTGCAGTTCACAACCCCGGGATGCTGAAGAAGCTGGACCAAGACCTGACGTCTATTGGTTGGCTCACGGAACTTCTTTGCTTCGAGTCAGCCATACTTCTTTGCGACCTGAAGCACCCTGTGAAGGTCAGGCTCGGTTGCAATATCTCCCTCAGACTGCCCGTGTCCAAGATGTGCAGGCCACCGTTCGCGCTGCCTTGCACCCAGTCCGAGGTCCGGTTCGTTTTCTTGACCTCTTGGGGGACCCACCTTTTTCTGACGCAAAAGCCGAGCCTGAGACAGACTCAAAGCCAGATGATCCCATGAACAATTCCCAGGAGCCAAATGGAAACGAAGAAGGAAACAAAGATGAAAACCAAGATCAGATTGAAGAAGCCATTCAGGATTCAGGAACAGCCACCGCAGAAACACAGCAGCTGCAGCCGCACGAACCACAGCCACAGCAGGTTGGAACAGAACCACACGCGGCTGCAGAAGCAACAGCACAAACCAATCCTGATCCTGATGATACAGAGATGACATCTGTGAGAAAGAGAGAGCATCCTGTGAATGCTGATGAAGAAAGACCTTCACAACTGGCCAAGACGATGGTCGGAGAAGAAAGATCGGGTGCAAATGAACCTTCAGAGAGCGCTCGATCCAGGGGTCCACGTCCGCATGATGAGAGAAACGTTGCCTTTCAGTCATACAACATGTCAAGGCAGTTGGATGGTCTCCCTCCAGTTCGTGAGGATGACCCAGCCTTTCAGAGGTTCATGGATGCCACCGATCCCTTGACTCCAGATGAAGCTTTGGTGGCAGAATCCTTTGATGAGCGAAAGCTGAGTCCTGAAGACAAGAAAGCATTCGACAAGGCAAAGGATGCTGCTTTGATGGTGTGGATTGAGAACAAGGCTTGGAAAGCTGTCGATGAATCTGAAGCTGGTGACGGGGAGATAGTTCCTGCCCGATTTCTGCAGCGTTGGAAGCCCACAGCAGATGGTCAGGTGGCCAACGCAAGAGTCATCCTGCAAGGCTTCAGACACATTGACGTCCTCAGCGAAAACCTTGTTCGTGAATCGCCCACACTCAGCCGATTGGGTCGTATGACAATTCTGGTATGGGCAGTGCATCGTGGTTGGAAAGTTTGGTGTGCGGACATCAAGTCAGCCTTCACGCAAGCAGATTCCATCGACGAGTCAACAAGGATCTTCGTGAAGCCAACCTCAGATATGAGGAGAAGACTCGAGCGTTTGATGGGACTTCAACAGCACCAGATCTTGAAAGCCACAAAGCCAGCTTTCGGAGACGTTCGAGCACCACGTCAATGGTTTGACACAGCCGACTCCTACCTGGTCAACAATCTGAAGCTTGTGAGTCATCCACTTGATCGTTGCTTGTACATGTCCTTGAGGAAGGCCACACAGGATGACGATCCCTTCCCGACCTTTGAGATGCACAACGACTGGTGGATTGTTGACGGAGTGGTTGGATTGCATGTTGACGATTTCATTGGCGCTGGCGAACAGATCAATGCCCTCCAAGACATCCAGAATGACCCCGCCGGTCACTGCCCTTGTTTTCAACACCGCATGCATCATTTGTCCACGCGGTTCCGGTTCGGAAGTTGGGACTTTGGAGACAAGATGCGCTTCTGTGGTGCTGAGGTGAAACAGACAGCAGACCATGAGACTGTGACGATTTCTCTGCAGCAGTATGTGAACAAGATCAAGCCTTTGAGTTTGGAGAAGACGAGAAAAGTCATGGTTGAAGACTACTGCACGGAAAAGGAACACAAGCAGCTTCGAGCATTGCTTGGGGCTATGTCTTGGCCGGTGACTCAATGCTTGCCACAAGCATCGGCTACCATCAGCCTTCTTCAAGCCAACATCAACAAGCCCATGGTGAAAGATATGTTGGAAGCCAATAAGTGCTTGAGGTTCCTGAAGGAAGTCGTCAAGAATTATGTCTTCACCTTGCGCAAGCATTGTTCCTTGGATCAGCTGAGGATTAGCTTGTATTGCGATGCTGCTTGGTCCGTGAGGCCAGATGGGAGCTCACAAGGTGGCATGTTGATGTTCCTTTCAAGTCAAGCAGAGCTGGATTCCTGTGAGCCCTTCCCTTTGACCATTCTGGATTGGTCAAGCAAAAAGTTGGTTCGCATGTGCCGGAGTTCATTGTCTGCTGAAGCACAATCTGCAACGATTGCCGTGGACGAGCTTGAGTGGTCAAAAGTGTTCTTTGCTGCAATGGTGAACCCCTATGTTCCGATACAAGATGATGCAACTATGCACAAGTTTGGAGGTTCCGCAGTGATTACAGATGCAAAAGCCCTTTTTGACAGCACGACAGCAGTCACCTCCGGTTTGAAGCTTTCCGAACGTCGAACTGCCATAGAGATTTGCATTTTGAGAGAGAGACTTGAAGCTTCTTTGTCGAAAGTCAAATGGTGCAATTCCTTACAGCAGTTGGCCGACGGCCTGACCAAAGGTGCAGCGAAAGATCATTTAGCCCAATGTCCTTTCGCGTGGTGTGCACTCCCTCAAATTTGACCCTGGCTTCGTGGCTGCGAAGAAGGTGACACATGAAGCTCGTTGGCAAGAAGAAAAAGAACTAGAAAAAGCAGCAGAGAACCTGTTTGATGGACAAGTCTTTTTCACAGAAGATGCCAAAGAGAAAGAAGCAGCAGGATTGTGTCGCTTGCCGGGTTGCAAGAAGGAAGTCGACAAGACGAGTGCACGACATGCTTTCTGCTCGCGAAGACATTTTTACCTTCACCAGTTTCGCTTGGGACGAAGTGGAGATGAGTGGCAGAAGGCTGCAGTGTGTGCCATGTCCATTTTGGCCTGGAGGTAGCAGAAGCCTCAACAGACATGGAGAATGAAGGAGAGACCCAGTTTTTGAACACCTTTGCTGTCATCATCCTTTTTGCGGTGATTGGTGCATTCAGTTCATTTTGGGTTTTGAAAGACGTCTTTGTCATGATGTCAAGACCTTTGTGATTTTTGCGTGTGCCAAGATTCATGAGAATGATCAGGTGATTGAGAATTTGGACGAACCATCCGTAGGTTTGAGCCATGGCGCGAGTGAGAATGACGACATGACTGAGAATGAGGAGATCTCAGAAGACAATGAGGGCATCACCGAATGCTCCACCGGAGAACAAGCTCGATGGAAGCGACTCTACGAGGAGGTCCTAGAAGAGAAGGGTCAGAAGAAATGGAACGAGCTCATGAAGATGCTCTGGACAGAGAAGGTGACACCTTCTATGCGCGGTCATGTCGTGGAACACGTCATACCGACGGTGCGCCGACGACTCGTTCTGGAGTTGAATTTGAAGAATGGAAGTGAAAGCGCAACAGATCTTGAGGTCAAGCAGTGGCATCGTTTTTTGAACGATCAGCTTTCCATGATCTTGGAGATTCACATGGACGTGAGGAAGAAAGACCTGAAGATTGCAGAATTGACACACATGCTCCATACTTCTCCAACCTCCGTGACACGAGCTCACAGCCCTGGTGATCCTCACTCTGAAGAGAAAGAACGTTTTCGAAGAGGAGAGATTCAAGATCGCATGCAGCAGACACCGATTCACTACGATCACGAAACGAACCAAATGAGTCTGCTGGGGCGAGGTGTTGAAGGAGCATATAGCTTTGTGAGTGTTTACGAAGATGCACTTCGAAGCTAGAGGGCTGAACTTTTGAATGTGTTTCACTGGTTGGATCAGAGAGCACGCAATTTCCAATTCTTCATTTTAGATGGTGCACCGGTCTGACTTCAGTTCACACTTGCGCATGAAGCATGCATACATTTGATTTCTTTCGATGGCCATTTATCTCACGAGGGCCCTTGAGTACAGTTAGTTGCGCTACGACCTTTCAGGTTTGCGGAAAATCAGGTGTCAGACTTCGTTTGCTGATCACTGTCGAGTTTAGAAGTATCCATTGCTGAGAATGCTTCTCCATGCTTCTCCTGTGGCTGCGGCAAGGCGTTCGCACGTGGGAAATTGGTCTCCCCGCCCTTCTCAACATTGGTCAAGTACCAAAAGACCGTTAGGAGCCGGTTTCGGTGGCCTTTGTCAATGTAATCCTCAGCGCGGGCAACACTCGGCGATTCACACTGCACATAGCGGAGCTCATATCAAGAAAAGGACTCCTCTCAGCATCTTTGTTCTCAGAATCTACGCTGGTTTGGTAGAACTCTGGGTCAAAGTTGTCGTTGTGCGCCGCATAGAACTCACCAAGGCGGTATCTCAAGACCTGCATCTCAGAAACAGTATCGGTTCCGTCAACACTTGGAATCCAATCACAACGGTGCAACTGGAGTATTATATAGCATATCATATCATATTAGATCAGGAGTACTAACCTCCCAAAATGCGTGGTCCAAGTCTCTGCTTCCGCCGGTGGGGTGGCTCCGGCACTCCAAAAAAGAAAAACAAACTCTTGGGCTCACGAAGCGGTAGTGTTTTCAGCTTTCACACCCATGAGTGTTAACTGCAGTGATGGGCCTGAACCTCTTCGTTGTGGGACACCGGCACGCGGGTCAGGTTGCTAATGCGCAAGTCCAGCTCCTGTAGCCTTAAGCAGAGGTGGTGCTCTCTGGCATTCCCATGCGTTGCTTTCTCCCTCAGTCCAATGCCACACATGGTCCCATGGTTGCTTTCTGTATCCTCTGCATGCTACACAAGAAAGGCTTTAAAGAATATACATACATCCCGTGTGTATATATATATTATTTTTCTATCTGTGTGTATATGTGTATGTACTGTGTATACATATATATATATAGTCCACGGGTCCACGAGAGTCAAGCTCACTGAGTCCGATGCCAAGCTCACTGGGCTCTGCCAGTGGCCTCCGCTACTTTTCAAAAGCCCTTCTGCCAAAGAGCAAAGGGCTTTCAGAGCTGCTGATCCTGGCCTGGGTGCTGGTTCGATACTCTTTGGCGTCTAGGTCTGGTTTGTGGATGTCCATCGGCACCACTGGCGACTCAGACATGTTGGACTTCCCCATGGCGATGATAACCTCGCACTCCTGACTAAGAAGAAAGGCTAATTGGCAAAAAAATGCCACTGAGGTGCCTCTGGTGCAAAATAAAGCCTGGGATAGTTCTGCCATGAATGCCCATGACCCTGCCAAAGCGCATTGCCATCATACTTCCCGAGCCTTTTCTCAGGTCTTTCCTCATTTCCTCCTGTCTTTAAAAAACCGTGCCTCCTCACGCAGGAAGCCGCGCACTCGAAAGACTACAGGCTGCACTGACTGCGTCTCAAGCCTGCAGTTCAGTTGCATAGCCGACTTGATTTCTACCTGGAAGTATCTGGGGATCACCAATTGATCGTCTGCCTTACTTGTTTGGCGTGTCAAGCCCCAAGAATCCACCCGATGCCCATGTCTACTCTGGGAGTCCAACCTTAAGGCACAGTGTCGTGGGTAGAATTAATCAGTGAAATCATGTGGAATCCAATGGGATTTTTCAGATGAGGTTACCTTTAAACGTTGTTACTGTGATCACAAACTAGGGCCCTTGCTTCTGTGATCAGCACAGCTCTTAGTCCAATAAATGTTTTCACAGTGCAATCAAAGTCTTGCTACTTGTTGGTCTTGAATGAGGATACCTTCGTGCCAAGTGGCTGATACGGAGTGCCCTGCAAGCGGCGAAGGTAGCCAACACGTACCGGTGGCCAAAACCATTGACCGCCCTCCATGATCAGCACAAGGCCCGCTGCCAGCACCTGTTGCAAGAAAGACCCCTACACGAGCACCCTGTGCACCATGAAGTGAGCGTGCCGCTCTCAAGTTGAAGACATGCAATCAACGGCATAATACGGCATGTATATATATATATATATATCTACTTAAAGCACGTATTTTTGCCTACCTATGTTCCATACAAAATGCTCATCGTGCGACAGGATAAGCTCACCTCCGCAGATGACCCCAGGCGGTGTCCACTTTCCGCAAATATCCCAAAAGGCTGCTTCAAGTGGAAGTTGCCCCACTCATTGGTAGCCTCCAGAAACCAGATCTATCCACATCTCAGAAGAACAAGCACACCCCGAATCAGAAAAGTAGCTTGACACCATTGGATGTATAGGCACCTTTGTGAAGCGCATTTTGCTCTGCAAGGCTTTTCTGAAACTGCGCCAGTCTTCGTTGAGCGCCTGGTCAAACGCCATGTCCACAGGACAGCTACTCGATGCTACTCACTCGGGCCACTTTCGCACACCCAAATTTCTAGCATGGGACTGGCACTGACCGTCACTGACCCTTGATTCCCTGAACAATAGGTCCAGTTCCACCCTGCCATCATAAGACATCCCACCTTGGACTCGAACTCCGCCTGGAGCGGTTTCTCTTCCCGCACGCCGTTCATGTGCGCTTCCAAGAGCAGCTTGTGATCCTGGGGTCTGGATGCTCCGTGTGGAACAACAAAGTCGTGCCCCACACGCCCCAGGCACACCGCGCGCTCGGCCGGCCTGCTGCCAGAAACAGGCCACATGTAGGCCTTGAAGATATTTAGGCTCATCTGTTCGCAGAAATTCATCTCGATCCGTCAGCCATGCACCAGATCCTCAGAGTCTAGCCTAGCCCTTTGCTCCGGCTACTCAGTGACAATTGTTGGGCACCACAGCCAGACCCACTCAATCTTCAAACAAAGACCCAAAGCAAATGTCCTACCTTCAATTCTGTCTTGCGTCTCAAATTCTAGGACCAAACCCATGGAGAAAACATTGCAGCCGGCACATACCACATGAATTGCGCACCCAACCGTATCATGACACATCATTGTCCTTTGATTGCAACTATATAGCTGTCACATGCACAGGGCTCAAGATAAATGTTGTGGTCCCAATATAGATGGAAATGACCTTCAAAACGGGATTTTGTTCGGGGTCGGCATTAAAGCCCGTATGCCGGCTTTGCGGGCAAATTTGCTCGAAAAGAATCAAACGGAATAAGTAATGACCCATAGCAAAAAAGATCCACTCGATCAGCCCATCCTCACCTCCCTTCCCCAGACATCTGCCATGAGACTCTCTTCGCACGGGCTGCCAAGGGCAGCTGCAAATTGAAGCAAGAACAGCCACGCTATTACCATCGCTGCCACCGATGCAACTTTTCACAAAGTTTCTGGAGTTTCTTCGATAACTGATGTACAATAAGCCCAGGCGTAAACCCTGGGCTAACTTTGTTGCAGTTGTCCCAGTATCTTCGTGCACTATGCACTGTTTAGTCTCTTTCATGCTTGGGTGTGATGATGTGATAGGAAGCGGCAAGTCAAAAGCCAAATGTTGAGAGCTCCAAGCACGTCAAGTAGAGTCGTGAAGCAGTCAAGGCCACGTCTGCCTAACTCCAAGACAAAGTTACCAAGCCATTGAGCCAAGTGGAGAACTCGACCATGGCGTTACGCAAATGATGACCAACGGCTTGAAAGGGATTGCCCCGCACCCTGCCGGCTGGCTTGGGATGACCTAGGCAGCTCGAGTCGAATAAACATGCTGCGGTTTGGGTCAGGATTTGGTCAAAGAGTGAATCTCGAAATCGTTTGAGAAGGGAAAATCCGCTGACCACGAGGCCGACTATGTTCCGGATCCGATGCAATCAAGGCTATATATATATATTAGGTTGGAGGCCATCGCTATTGCGGATCCGTGTAGGCTCGTCCATGATACAAATCCAGAGCCTTGAACTCGCCAGGCCACGGGTTGCACTGCCGCTGATCCTTGCTTTGAGGACGGCGGGCGGTACAGGATCATATAGTTGTAATTAGGAGCAAGGACGCTACTAGGTGTCTTTATTCTCCTCCAGGAAGGCTCAGCAGCAACAAGTCAACAAGAAACAAACATAGGGCTGATTACATATCCGTCCATCTATCATCTATCTATCGATCTATCTACTCACCTACCTGCCTAAGAACCCATCTATCCATTGCATTGCTCTCTGCATTCATAATGTGCCTGGGAATCTCTCGAGTCTATTGGTGGCCCCTCGATAAATGATGACTTCTCTGCTCCAATGTCTTCGCACTGCTGCCACGCTGCTTCCGTGCCATGGGCCGTCGCTTGGCTTGACGAAGCCCCAGCGCTACACCCAAATAGGCGATTGCTCGGACGGGAGCTGAGCAAAGCCCACGGGCACAGGGCAAAAGAACCTGCAACAGCGATGAGAGCTTTCCGGAGATGATGAGTGGAGGTTGGCCAATCATGAAACAAACGCACCATCCTTGACTCACCGAACAGCGCCTCGTGTGCCACACTAACAGCACTTCGCAGTGGACTTGGCTGTCCAGCGGCGAAGATCTTCACGGTCTGCGGGCTGCTGACCTTCCGAGCTCTGTGGGCCGCTTTGAGGGGCATCCGTTAACCGTGAGCAGGGCTTCAGATCATCAAATTCATCCGGCTGAAGTTAGCTTGCAGTCTAGTGCCCAGCAAATGTTGCTGAAGAATATTTAAATACGTTCAACATCTGCCTTCCAACACCTACAACACCCACCTGTTGAACAAAGGAAAATGCGTAGCACTTGATCGGCTGAGTCACTGCAACTCTCGGAGGCGCGACAGAGACCATTGGGGGCCGGCGTCACAAAGGAAGCAAAAAACAGGGCGTGTTGGAGCAGTGGAGCAGTTAAAACAGCTGCAGGGTGCAAACACCTTTGGAGACCAACATTGAACTGAATAATCGACATCAAATCCAAGACCTGGCCATGCCAGCCATGCCGACAGTGCCGTTTCAGCCGAGTCCGCTTTTGCCGCACCTCCATGCTGCCTTTTCTATCCTGGAATGGCACCGCTTGGCGCTTGCATGTACGGAAATACAAAATACGCCGAAGACTGCTGTTGGGAAAATCTCCACCTTGAAAGAAATCCGCTGCGCTGTTGTGTCTGTGGTGCAATGTTATTCATATCCATGCATGCAACATATGATCGAATCATATGTCTACAAATAATTATGTACATTAGTAGATTGTCTGTACAGTGTACAGTCTAAAGAGGTGCCTTGTGGGGATCAGACGGGGCACTGCCCGGTCGCCTTGACTTTGAGCGCTTAGACTGGTGAAAGCTACGACACTTCTGGTCCTTCCACAACGCCACGAAGGATACCGAGGATTTGTGACAACACTGACACGAGTCAGTCCAAGACATGATTTTGCATCATGCTCCGCTTCCCCTACGACCTCCAGATACAAAAAACATGCAGGATTGTCAGACCATTTTCAAGATGTTGAACGGCTGTGCTTGGAGCTGCAAATCTGGAGTCCTGCTTTCAAGATAGATGGCCCGACCCCAATTAGACCACCCCTCAGTGTTCACCGTCTGTTTTGACCTCACTGCATCTTAGCACGCTAACGCCTGTCCATGAAGGACAAGAGTATGTCATCATACGTCACCACAATTGAAAGCTGGGCTTTAGCATGGGCATAGCAAAAACCACTCGGGACGCGAAGGACATATTCTGGAAGTCACATCACACATTGCGTGTTCAAAACGATTCTCCCGGCTGAGAGTCGTTTATGGCAAGCGGCAACTCCATCACCAGGCACTCCCAGGAGTAGGGACAGCCTAGCGTTGCTAGCGTGCAAAAACTGTGAAAACGGCAAAGCAGGGCAAGCAACGTCAACGCTGCTTTCGAGCAAAGCAAAGGACTGCAGATTGGCCTGATTGGCCTGTGAAGGCTAGAAGGTGAGCGTTGAAAAGAAGCTTCTGGGACACTGGCTCGGATCCATGAAAGGCATCGCATCCCCTGGAGGCTGAACAAACACGAACTCATGGTCGAGGCACTTGCACAACTTGAAAACTGAAAGTTCTCCTTCCTGAAAGAGCATGAAAAGGCTGTTGTTGGATGTCTGTAGGATGTGTGGGGTACAGCACGGTAGGATGCCTGTGTGATATCCGTGCTGTGTGATGTCAGTCAACTTCTGCCGCCTCCATCTCCAACCCTATCTGTCTGACAGTTTGATAGAGTCTCAATAGAGTTTCACCAATCTCAAGGACGGCACAGGTGGAGCACATCACCTGCCTGTAGCCATCGAACTGGTATCGATACAGGGACCGGCAGCAGCCTGACATGGAAAGACCTGGGGCAGTGAACGCTGCATTCGTTCCCCACGCAGGCACGAAGCAAATGACGCTGCCAGGATCCTAGCGCTTTGAAATCAGGTGCACCTGGAGCCGGGCAAAGCCACTTGCAGCTAGCCGCTAGTCAATCGGACTTGTGAGGCCTGATGAGACCTAGCCTCCCAGTTAAGCCTAGCTTTTGTAGCTTCTGAACCTTCTTGCCCTACCATCCCTACACGTGCTGGTTTCTGCCTTGGCCAGGAAGGAGAAATCTGATGCGATGGCATCGTTCATTAGCTGCGGGCTGGACTTGCCTGGCGTGCAAGACCAGCATGACAGGAACTCAACTCACCAAAAGCAGTGAACTCAAGTGGTCACCTGGAGGAGGCAGGTGTAGTCACTCCCAATGATTGCTTACAACATCTTACAACTCTCATCAAATAGGTCGTTGTCATTGAAGTCTTCCCATGGTCCACTTGCTGGCCTTCACCAAGTTCCTCCTCGTAAGCCTCACAAGTGTTGTGTTCAAGCTTCAAACCTGCCTCTCTAGCTCAAGACCTCTGAGCCACGAACTGGAATCACTTTCTTCTCGATCACCTCCTTGACATCCTGTCCGATATACAACCAGCAAAAAGCGCTTGATTTTCACCACATGGCCACGTTCTCCGAGGAAGTGATTTTCCCGTAGCGTGCAGCCATACAGTAGTCCAAGGGACTGAAAGAACCCCAGAATGCCCTCAACCGGGAACTTGCCGGGCACCCACAAAGCCACGGCAGACCTTGAAGGAGGCTCCAAGCAAAGCAGGACAGCCAGCAATCTCCCAGGCCTGAAAGCTGTTCCAACCTCTCTCTCTCTCTCTCCCTCCGTTTCGCTTCACAACCCCATCTCATTGCTCAATGTCATGTGCACAGGGATGTAGCTTACAAGCTGTGTACGTAGGTGTTTCAATGTGATCTTTTTCTCCCTGCATTTTTGCCAGCCGATGCTTGCTGCCATGCGCATGTGCATGTAGCACTGAATTTCAACACTCCAAAGAACCCCAATCATTGAATGGATCTTGATTAGACATAATGTACATATATATAGGGCAGCAGTTTCACTGCGACATTGAAAGCATTGAACAGCAACTCTGATGAGTGCATCAACATCCCAATTTGGATCTCTTGGACTCTGGCGGGTCCACCATTGGTTTTCTTCTCTTCTTTATAGGCTGGGACCAAACAAGGCCACAAGACGACTTTTCATGCGCCTTGGGAAACCGAACATAAGCGCCAAACTCATTGACAAGAGAAGTCACTGCAGCTTGTGCCTCAGCACTGTGCTTCTCTAGAGACGAAGTGGCAGAGATACCGCCTTTCTTCATGGAGAATTGCCCAGGTTTGAAGCTTCTTTTGTCAGCCCCGTAGCGCATAAAACGCAGCAATCTCTTGTCCGCGTGCCAGTAACGCAGGGTCCGTTCCACATCGTCTTTGATTTGGCCACCTCTCGTGTACAATCTTGGATTGTGCTGCACACGAATGCCAAACCACGCACCATAAACCAAGCCCAGTCTCATGGAATAGTCCCGGAAAATGCCAGTTGAGACAGCTCTGCGACGGGCTTCCACCCCATAATTCCTCAAATAGAAATGATTCCGTGAGGGATTGACACCCCAAATATGTACGCCGTGCTTCTTCATTTCATTTCCCGCACGGCGAATCATTGTGGATAGCTCCGGCTTTTCTCCTGGCAGTTTCAATCCCTTTCTTGCTGGCTTTGTGAGTAGCCTGGGTGGCAACGGCTTGAAAGCTGTGTCTTTTGCCGCCTCAATGCATTTTCTTCGCTTCTTCTGCGACAAACCTGCTTCCTGAAGTGCGGCATCCACACGTTGGACTGGTAAGTCTTTGAACTCCTGGAGGCAGGTGACCTGAATTTTCCGCAGGGTCTCTTGCACTTTGGTCATCTTCTTCATCTTTTCCAGTTCTGGACAAAGACCACGCAGGAAACATAGAAGGTCCGGCTCCTCCACTGCGATCAAGCCCGTGCCATTCAAGGGGCTCAAGCCATCCTTGTAGTTTAGTGGCCAGGTGCTGTTGTCCGTGATCCCTGCTGCTTTTCGCTGGGCCACGATTGAATCGTCTGCGATTTCCACCACTAAGCGTTCAATATTGTCGTCCATGATGACGATGTGACTGCCCTTTGGAGCTGCCTCTTCTATGAAGCGCACCTGGAGATGAGCCCCACGAATCCCAACCACAACCCTGTCTGCCCAAGGAGTACCACTTAGCGCAGCAGCATAATTGCCGGAGATCCAGGCACTGTCTGTGTGAGACACAAATATCAAACAGTGCTTGTACGCCTCAGGGCCTAGGGCAAGCTCCAAAGCTGCTAGGGTCAACTCTCGCAGACCCTTTTCTGCAGTGTAAAGTTTCTTCTCCACCGTCTCCAGCGGCTGGCACATATTGTCGGCCAATATCTTGGCTGTCTTGGAGGTCAAGCGCACAACCCCCGCCTCTCTCAAGGCATCTTGGAACGTGTGCAGCGGCTTCTTTGCCAGCAATCTCAAATCAAATAAGCTGAGGTCGGCAGCCTTCAGTTTCTCTTCCATGATCCTTGCAGCCTGCCTGTCCAAGACTCCATAGAGAAAGCGATGAAGCTCACTTTGTTGACATCGAGCACCAGCTCGCCCAAAGGTCCGAATGCAGATCAGCCATTTGTCATCTTGGAGGCCTGGCTGTTGGTCCAAGGCCTGTTTCACGCGGCCACGTGCTGCCTGGAGAAGAGACTGGACCCAGGGGTGTTCAAAGACAGAATCTCCATGCGACGGTCCAGGAGCCAGGCCGTCAACATACTCATAGGGAGCCATCGGATTTGCTCGGCCATTTTCGATTACCTTGGCTGCTGTTGGTGCATGGCCATGGCAAACCTTCAAGGCCGCAGCCGCCAAAAGAACATCACATCCCAGCTTTGTGGCCAGGGTCTTGGCTGACACTGATGTCGCCGCCCTCTCTGTCACGGGCATGTGGGCAACTTGAGCCAGGACTTCTAGTGATGCCTGAGGATCCAGGAAAAGGGGCGGGTGTCTCAAGCCAAAACCTAGTGAGAAAGTGACAAGGACCTCATAGAATAATGAATGAATTATCATAGAAGAGCTCCCAAGAATTTCTCAGCATCAGGAGCTGGCGAAACGCTCCACCATGGTCTCCCTCTGCTCATCCTCTGCGACATACCGGCCGCAACCTCATCAAGCGCCGTGAAGGCCAGGCACTCGTGCCAAGCGGTGGGTTTCGTACTGTGGACCCCATGCAACCCAAAGACCCACAGCACCACAGAAAGCACAAAGCAAAACAATCAAAAAAAACAATGGGCCGTGGCTAGCCATCTTTGACATGATTTTGACCTGCCCTTTGCTGCTCAGAATTTGGATGTCCTGCGGCGATGTTTCATGTTCTAGACTTTGGTTTCAATGGGACGCAGTCTTCTTCGGGATTTGGCTTCCAGAAGAAATATGGAAAAGTGAACTCGCTGTGTAGTGTGGCCATGTGACCCTGAGGTCCCATCTTCCGTCACAGGCCCTGTGCGGCTCCTGGCGCACAAATCAAGTCGTGCAGCCTCAGAAACACCTCAATCACTCTCACTCTCACACTCGCTCACACTCACACTCACACTCTCACTCTCACTCTCTCACTCACCCTCCCTCCCCCCCTCCCTCCCTCTCACTCGCTCACTCTCTCACACTCTCTCACTCTCTCTCTCTCTCTCTCCCTCGCTCTCTCTCTCTCTCTCACGCACGCACGCACGCACGCACTCACTCTCACTCTCTCCCTCTCCCTCTCTCCCTCTCTCCCTCTCTCACTCTCTCACTCACTCGCTCACTCGCTCACTCGCTCACTCCCTCACTCCCTCACTCCCTCACTCACTCACTCACTCACCCACTCGCACTCACTCAGTCGCACTCACTCACTCACTTGCACTCACCCACTCGCTCACTCACTCACTCACTCACGTGCACTCGCTCGCACCTCTTCTGATACAGCGCGAAAGCCATTTTCCTGCTTGTTGCCGCCAACGATAATCTCCTCGGCGCTGCTTCGGTCAGCTTTATTTCCCACCCGCATGGCAGGCACGCTGTCAGTCGCATGTCACCAAGCTTTCAGGCCAAGTGGGAAGCGACTCCGTTGGCCAAGGCCTTCAGTGGAGGCTCCTGGAGAACAACAACGACACTAACTACTAAAGCAATGGCCTCCATCCTATATAATTGGATGGAATCCAACCTTGAAGCGATGGCCTCCCTAAGAGCGATGGCTTCCAACCTACCAGCGATGGCCTCTAACCTAATAGCAATGGCCTCCTCCAACGTGAATTGGAACATCTCACCATGAAGAGGACTCTGCAGCTGCAACACCCTTATGAGGTTTGTCTGGAACGCTCATGGCTCCTTCAAAAGCACTCCATCAACTACAGCCACCTCAGCGGTCAGGCCAAGCACTCGCCTTTTGCCGAGCTGGCCTTGCGGCATTCACCTACTATCCTAAGTTCTCCACTGGCATCGGCCAGCCATGAACTTCGTGGCCTGCATCAATCGCCCATTGGCCCATTGGTGCCCAATTGGCGTTTGGTAGCTAGCTGCCACCACGCCTTCTGGTAGCCGAAAGAGTCCAGCAGTGGTGGGATCCTGGGCGACAAGTCACTCAAGGCACTCATTGGCCCGACTGTTAGACTCCTGACAAAATCGCCAAGCCTGGTCACCACAAGAAAAAGGACACCCACATACTCGAATGCACATCATGTGCTCATAAAAGCTCAGCACTGGTACCGGGCATAGAACCAGGTTTGCAGGTTGGTTAGGTTCACGGCTCCTACGTGTTAATATTCCCAGATCGCCTTCTTTTTAACGTTTTCTCAGGGCGGTAGGGCTTCAGGCATCCAGCGCACCGCACGAGCTGCGCCCAGCCTTACTACACTCAGTGACAAACTCTGGTTATGACATCCGAGACAGGTCGAAACCGCCTTCATGGACTCAAATTGACTCCAAATTCATCAACATTTATCAGCATGTACTGAAATCCAACTGAAAACGTCCCAAAAAACCATTCAGAAATGCAGCGGCGTGTGTTTTTGTTAAATCTTGTTTGCCATTATTTGTCTATATAATGTTTGGGGTTGACTACATGCTTCCGGGTGCTTGGGTGTGGCAGTGGGACTCCCTCAGGATGTTGGTGTGAATGCACCAGTGGCAACAGGGGTGCGAAGCCCGGCTGGACACAACTGCGGTAATCGAAGAATCCTTACCCTCAAAATGCATGCAAAAGAAGGGAGCAAAAAAACAATCTTCAAACTTCAAATCATCAAATTTTCTCACACCCACCGACACAATGAACATACTTGCGGGAGCCAGGAGAAAAGGAGTTATAAAAAAATAACAAACCTATAGCCTAGTAAGCCTAGTAGTAACTAGTAACATCTATATAACTAGTATCTAGATGTCATTATATAGTCACTCACCCTGCGTCTCCCCGTCGCGCCACAGATCCACCACCGGGTAGAGCTCCCGCGAGGCGACAGGGATGCCACGCGGTCCAGCGCAGACCGCAGTACCTCAAAGCACCATAGGCACAGGGATGCCACGATCGGCGACATGGAAGCTGCCGCGATCAAATCAAAACTCATAGAATCTCATCACGTAGGGCATCAATGTTGCGGCAGTTGAGTCTGTACTGGTTTTGAGGATGACGTTTAGTTGTGCTTGATTTGTCCTTACTGTCCACACAGCTCACTGTGATACAGTACAGCAAGTAAAGCCCAGGCATGCGTTCCGAAACCAGTTCTCATTTCCCATGCCGAGGCTTGTCACATCAAACCAAAGACTTTGTGTGTTGTGTTGTGGTCGTCCCAAGTGGCCATTGCGGAAGATGATGAGCTCGCCCTCCGACGCTGTGACCAGAAGCCCCACAGAGTCTCCTTCTCTGAGAGACCTGGGGTCCCAGTCCACTTGAGTCAACGTGCCACCTCGGAAGATGCGGCACAACAACACAAAAGCTCTGGAAGGCACATGAGTGGATGAAGAAGCAAACAAACAGGAGAGAGCCACATGATGCCCGTGCATACTGGCGCCTGGAACAGCCTAGGGCCTACATGATGCCGAGGTGCTCTTGCAGTCCCACATCTGCCCATCATAGCCCAGACTCCATCTGAGGATCAAGGAAATGCATTCCCAAAAATAGGGAATGAACAAATACATACAAATACGCTATATAAGTGACCTGAATAGCATCCAGCTGACATAGCAAACATGACCCCATCTGGCAATAAAGAAAGCAATCTTCCAACCCCTGGTCAGACTTTGGTCCAAATACGACTATGTCAGAGCTGCCATGGCTATGTTGGAGTAAGAGTTTGTATTGTTGGGCGTGCACAAACAACCTCCTACCTTCAGCAACACTTGGCCCCTCACGTCTCTGGAATGTGCTCGACAGTGGCCGGGGAGTTGTTCAGCGGCAGCGCATCCGGAGCCGTGGCAGTTACGCCCAGGGTGAGACCATCGGGGCTCTCGCCCGGGCGCACTTCATCCAAGGTGACCTGCATCGAGCCCAAATCGATACGGTAAGGACCATGTAATGAAACCATAATGAGGGACCTCGCAGGCCACAGCCCCACAACAGAACAGGATACCTTCTTTAGTTCAGCTTGGTGATCGAAGAGCGGCGCCTCGAAGTAAGCACCAGCCCTACCCAGCATGAGTGGCTGCGTCCCGATCAGCACGCCACGCATCCTCAGATCGTGAAGAAAGTGAGTTCTCCCAATCTCCGACAGCCCGCAATGGCAATGCTGCCGGAATGTAATCCGCACCCTCCCTGCGAAAACTACTTCCTTTACAAGTCTTTACAAACGGGGACGTCCACTTCCGTGCTGAGGTGCTATCACTCATAGCAGCGCGGTCCCACTCAAGCAAAACCTGCAGAACCTATCAATAATTCCAAAGCTTGTACAAGTGCATGTGATCAGCCTGTTTCTTTTCGCCATGCCCTTGCACAGCGTCAAGAGTCAAGAGTTCTCACACCTTCGCATGAAAGACTGGCCTGGTCATCGCTTGGGCGAAACAATGAGCCAACCGCATTTGAACTAATCTGGCAGTCTATGTCTAGATAGTGGGACAAAACCATCTCAAGTGACCAGGGCTTCTCGCGAGGCTGAGCTGAACCCACCTCCGGATGACCTGTATCATCTGGAGACGGTGCAAGTCTAAAACCCTCCAGGCTGCTTGCTAACTGTCAAAATGGAAGCAAAATGTCAAACCTGTCCGCAGATTCCATCACTCTTGTTGGATGGCTGGATTTCTGTCAATGTGGTTACATGATCTTGGATCAATGCAGGAACACTGGCACAAATTCCCAGACAGACCATCTAAATCCAACTGTTGGCCTGCAAATGTGCCAAGAGTTCTGTCAAAATCCCCCGCCAAAGAGCGGAGTCGGTCTGTGTTTTGCACTCAGTTAGAGAGGACGAACAACGAGCCATTGTTCTCCATCTGGCGGATGGCCTGGACATCATTTGCCAGCACTCCTGGGTCGGAGTGCACCATGACGCACATGCCCACGAGGCTGAAAAGGTCGATGGTTTTTTCTACTCGATGGCCGGCATGCAAATGTTCTTCCAGGAAGACCACCGATGGCAACTCTCGAACCTTGTGAAACTGCGTCGATGCCACATGGCCATCGTGGTAGGAGATCAAGCTTGACACTTGCCCTGATGCGAGGAATTCAAGCGGGACATCTGGGAGTCGATCAAAGGCCTCTCCATCCAAAAAGGCGTCGACACAGGCATCCACCTGGCATGTACTGACTGAAGAACTGGACACAGGGAAACGCAGGATGAGGAAGAGGAAGAGGAAGACCGAAAAATGAGAGGAGCTTTGTCTTTCTGCAAAAGTCAGATGTGAACGAATACAAAGACAATATTCGTATCGTGTGTATATATATATACAGGTGTATATATATATATATCATATGTCATAATATGTGTGTGTATCTGTGTGTGTGTGAGTTCGGCTGTGTTTGATCCCTCAGAAAATGCAATTCTGCCTGCCGACGTCCCGCCTGTGTATATCCTGTCAGGGCACGTGCCAGTGGCATCCATGCTCCTGCTGCACCATGACAACGACTGTTGACCTCCACCAAGCACGGGCCAGTCTCCGTCATCATTACCTGAGGGTTCCCACCAACAGAAAAAGACCAACGCAACAGAAAGAACATCGGCGGTTTGCACATCTTTGTCCCAAGCCATGACTCGCCCCACTCTCGGTGCAATCCAAAATAATCCACAGCATATCTTCAAATTACACCACAGTAGACCTCAAAGAGCTGGTGCTTTTCAGACACATCAGCCCAGAGCTGGGCAGTCCAGAGCTGGGAGACACATGTAGACACAGCAGTCCAGAGCTGGGAGGCAAACCTAAAGGATTGCAAGCCAGAGGTCGGCACCGCGAGGCTCACACAGCAGTCCACAGAAGGCGGGCACACTTAAAAGCGTTGACAACCCCAACAGCAAACTGTTCGGGGAAAAACAACAACCCCGACAACGCTGGCCTCGGTATGTGTTGCGCCATTGGTGATTCGAAGGGCATCCAGGCAGCCGACCGTATAGGCAATGAGCTGTGCTGCCACTGGGTCGTCACTGGGGACACAGTGCTGTCCAAAGTTCACGAAGCCAGCGCCGTTGGCAGGACGACGGTCGTAAACCCAAACCAAGGTGGTCTTGTGGTGTCCGTCACCTGAGCAGTGACACATGGTCACACCGGGCGAGCCGTTCTTTTTGTTCGTTCTTTTTCAGCCTAAGTTGCCTTCACCCTTGGTCAATTAGGTAGGTTATATTCAGTAAGAAGGTGAGCTCCTAGGTACGTAGGACGCAGGATAGATCACGCACTAGTCATGTGGCTCGACACGGTTCAACCACATTTAGGTCCAGAACAGCCAGGGCATAACCTGGTCAACAAGTTATTCCTTACATAAATCCCAATGCCTTTTGAAGTTGTAAGGTGCAAAAATGTTCAATTCTGAAGAAGTGAGCCACGGGAGACACAATCAACGATGTACTCCTTGCCCTTGAGATACTCTTGCAGCAAGACGGCAGCTCCCTGCGAGCCACACTTCCGTTGAGAGTTCATCAACAAATGGAAGTGGTCCTTGGCCTCGCTGGGTGTGTGGCAAAGCTTCACCCCATCCGAACCAGCAGATTCCACGGGCTTCACGATGATGGGAAAGGCCTCCGTCTCTGTAAATGCCTTCACCTCCGTCCAATCCTTTCCACAAACCGAGCGCACTGATCTCATGCCTGCGGCCTTCACTGCATCCTGCTGCACTTGCTTGTCGCGACGATTGGCCATGCCTCTCTGTGTGGTGTTTCCGCGGAGGCCCATGTGCTCGGACAAAGCATCGGCCATCTTCACCCCCGTCTCACCCCCACACATCACAGCCAGCGGCTCAGCCTGCGCAATCTCTCGAAGCTTCTGGGCTGTCAAGGCCAAGGTCGGCTGCTCCGTGACCTCGGCCAAGAACTTCTCAGGAAATCCTTTCGCTGCTTGTGGTAGGTGGCCGAGGTTCTCCCCCACATCCTCAGTCCACAAGGCAATGACGGCGTAGCCTCGCTGGTCCAGCTCCGCTGCCAGCATGCCGCCGGTGGAGTAAGGGTCAACGACCACCACGCAAGGGCGCGGACCAGCAGCATTATTGTATCCGTTTGATGGAGCGTTGTGTTGACCCTTGCACATGATGAAAGTTCTTGAAGCTTGGAGAGTATCTACAGTCGATAAGGGCTTGAGCCAACCCCAGGCCGTCGCAACAACTACAGTATATCAAATGTATTTACCAATGTAGCATCTAAGCGGCCAAACATGCACTCAAATAGGCCAAATTTTGCCAGGCAGCTCATTCCCGGTATCATCCAAATGACGGGCATGCAGCTTATCATCGGAGATCCACACCAACTCCCCAGCTCCTGCAGCTCAAAACATGCGAAAGTTGAGTGAGACTGCCTGGAACCTCTCGGTCAACTCTCCTGCTTTGCGCAACCCTGCTGGGGCTGAAGGCTTTGGACGCGCTTGTGGCTGTGGCCATGGTTTAGGTGGCATAGTCCTGCGTGCGGAACACTTTGTGGCCATTAGCTCGAAGAGAAGGGCAATGCGGCAAGGAAGGAAACTAAACACAGATTGCATCTAAAATAATATAAGATCTGTATAGTACTCTGCATGTGTACATATATGTACTATAAAATATATATTTATATTTATTGGTGTATATATATATATACTTACTTACCCAGAAAATGGTGGTGGTAAGAGAAGTCGGGCTACGTCAATCTCCGCGTGTCAATCTGGGTTCTTGAACCACGCGACTTCACACGACGTCCCTACCCGATATGTCCACACTCGCAAGTTCAGCTGCCTCTTCTTGTTCGGCAGCTGAAGCCAGTCCCCACCAAGGGCATGCTGCCACAGCACTTCCGCTGTAGCCTCGAAGTCCGCAGAGGCTCCTCAAGAGCGCACCCTCTATCTGTCTCTCTCTCTCTCTATCTCTCTTCCTGCAACGTCTGACTCTGACACAGGCGTCCACTGTTGCTTGGAACTGTTTGCCGGAAGTGTTGGGGGTTCAGTAGCTCTCAGTGCGCTACAGCATAGGCGCGCTCAATCCCAAAACACAGAACCTCCTTGAGCTCGCCCAGCATTTCGCAAGCAAACCTCTCAGGTTTGCGAGGTCTGCACCAGTCAATTCTTCAGATGGAGCTGGCTGCTACAGATCCTGGGGTCCTAGACTTGTGGCTACTGGCCTACTGGCAATGAAACCTATTGTGCTTGGGGCCCGTTTCCGTCTGACTTGACTTCTTCTGAGCTTCGCAGAATGGCTTGGCTGCCGGTATCAAACCGGCCACTGGGCCTCGGCCACCAGCCGCGAGGGAGCCAATGCTGCCAGCTGCGCCATCAGCGGCGGCGCAGGGAGGGCGCTGTGCTCCAGAACCTGGGCTGCTCACTGCTGACACCACAGGCCAAAATGATGGCCCGGTGGACCAAGGGCTTCTGCAAAGAAAGGAAGGTAAGGAAGTTGAGGAGAATGTCCCAACACTTGAAGAACTGTCAGAAAAGGCATTTCTCCATTGGGATCCATTGGGTGAAGAATAGTCGACGACGACTTTCGAGGATTCCTCTGAAACTGGTACATGAGTTGACCTCCGCCCAGACACCCTCAGGCCAAGCCACAGACTGCCAACGCATGGGATCAAGCCCTGCGAGCTTTCGCCTGTGCGGGGCATGGAGTATCTTTGGTTGGTAATTAGTCACCTCCAGAGATACAGGCACGATGTCCCTAACTGTGATCCCTAACTGTGAATGCTTTTGAACTGGATAGTTTAGTGGGGGACAAGACTCCATCAAATTCCACTTGGAGTGAGGAATATCCCGACTTGCATGACCATGAACACACGTTGCAAGTGTGGACACTTCCATGTCCAATGCATGATATGAACTTCCACTGGCTTACCCGGTAACCCAAGAAGTTCATTGATGCTTGGCTCTGAGGAACGGCAGGAGCTAAAATACACCCACTGACTCACTAGTATGGATGGTACACAGGAAGAACACCGGCAAATGTCTAACACCTCCTCGTCTCATTCCCAAGATTGCGTAAATCCATCAAAGCCAGTGATCATCTCACATCCCACAAGCAGGTTGCTATGCTTGTGACCGGGTATCAACTTGACTTGCAGGTTAGACACAGAGCAAGTGCCAAGTCATACCACGTATTGATGCGGCCATCTTGGCGCAAAAGCCTCTTTGAGTCTCCTGTTTCACCAGGCCCAAGATCACACCCTCCTCTTTGGATCAACAACTCCCCTACTACCCTAGTCACACAATTCATCCCAACCTCATCCTTTCCTTCCACTCAACGGCATTTGTAGAGGTGACTGAGTGGAACTGAAAATTACCAAGTCAATTGACTGCAGCGTGTCGGGAAACAACGACAAAAGAAAGAATTGGAACAGCCAGCGCGCCAACTCCAAACTCCAAACACAATGTCCTCGGAAGGATGCTTGGTCAATCTGGCATACTTCCTCTGAGATGGCATCCTCGGCATTCAACGTTGATCATGATCATAGACTATAAAATTCAGTCGATGCCACGGGATCACAGAAATCAATGACCAGGGAACCTTGGAACCCTGATGTCCTTAAGTCCAGACTCCAACGACTTCTCTTCAGGCACCATCGCAGCGGCTTTCAAGGTCGTTGTCAGGATCTGAGCACACGAGGTTGGCAAGCAGATTCCAATATTGAGCATGTACAGTAGTACTTAGTACAGTATGTACCATGCACACAGAACAGGACTAGGGCCTCCAAAAGTCCCGTCCCTGTGCGAAAACTAGGCGTTGATGCAAAGAAAGAACTCTTAGATCGAAAACCTGCCGTTACACCACCCTCAAGCTTGACCTAGTGACCTAGTTGGATTCGCTAACTGCACTGGCGAATCCCCGCCTGGTCGAACTGCTGGGTGCAGCTAGGGTCCTGCGACAGGACCAACTGGTGCGACCAAAGGACTCACCCGCAAAGAGACCACATTGACCACATCTAGTTCAGCCAGTCCTCCATGGTTTCCTCTTTGGGATCCCATCCTGACTTTGGTGGAGCTGTAACAACTTCTCCCCATGCTATATAAGTCTTATTTCTACCTCGCACAGAAAGAAAAGCCCTATCTCAGCGCATCTTCCCACAGCAAGGGGCGGACGCTCCGATTGAGATCTCGGAGTTGCTCCAGGCAGGACTTGCTCGGGGAGGGCACCGGTGAGGTTTCGGGCTGGGAGAGCAGCAAGACGCCCAGTGGGTATCGCCTCACGGAACGGACCAGGGCCCCAATGATGTGTATCACAATGCAGGGGCAGCACGTGAATATGTGAATATGATAGAATGTGGATGAATATGGCATGCATCCGCAAGCGCAGGGCTGCAGCCTTGAAGGATACCCAGATAAAAACTGTATCTCTGCCGAGCTGAGCTTCAATCAAAGAACACAATTCAAGACAAATGGAAAAAGGTCAACGAGACACAAAAAGCCACATCAATTGTCTGAAATGTGACCACTAAACTGCTCTGAATAAAGAACATTCCAATTTCGAACAAGGAACATGTGATGGCAAAGCTCAATGTCCAGCTTCTTTCGAAAACGACATAGCAGGGAGTCTGCTGCTGAACAGCGCCCTGCCTGAGCTGTGAGGCCAATGAAAAGCAGCTGATTTGTGCCAGCTGCAAAAACGTGACAAAGCCTGCTCGACTACAGTGAATTATTTATATATATATCACAAAGTGGCCAACATACTGACAAACTCCTCATTTTGCAGCCAACCTGCATGGAGCGGAATGGCCCCAACCTCACTGGGTCTTCTGTGAAGGGTCACGGCAAAGGCCTCGCGCAGAAGAGGCTCGTCACATGCTCGAGTGCCTTGGAGTAAAAAAACGACTGACTTCCACACGATAAGAAATGATGATTACATACAAATGTGCACCATGCGTGATAAAAAAGAGACTTCCTCACCATGCCTGTGCATATGTTTCTTAGCATGTCAAGCAAAACCATAACCCAGGCTTCCATAGGCCTTTTTTTGTGCAATGTACCCCTTCGGACTGATCAACAACATGCATGCGAAAGCAAAAGCGACGAAAATGGTGAGTTTGGCGACCAAAGGCATGGTAGGTGGTTGGCGGAGTTGTATGCTTGTTCAGGGCTTGAAAACCAAGAAATCGCCCACTACAGTACAGCACCTTAGACTTGCTCGACGCTCAAAGCGGTTGAATCTTCCAAAGCAACTGAACTCTTTTTGCAAGCTGCAAGTTGGTAAGAGTCGCATAAAGTACAGGGGCAGCTCAGCGAGAAGCGCTTCCTGGTTCAATTGCTGACAGGTCGATTGGTGACGAGGCCTGTCTACCAACTTTTGACCACATCATCTACAGTATATGGGTGATCAACAAAAAAAGCATCTGTGGATCTTGTCCGAAGAAACGGGAGGACTTTGGTCCGAGTAATGGAGCAGGAAAAGCATCACCCCACTATTCACGAAACGTGGGCCGCCGAAGAGAAAACGGAAGGATGAGCTCGCTGCGCAGGGAGCTCAGCTGCCCTTCTACTGTAGGAAGATACACTCAGAACTCCTTGAGCAAAGGCACCCGATGCTGCCCCAGTTTTAACCTAGCTGCAGCAGTAGGCCTCGGGTGACCAATAAATCTTCCGTGCTCAAGAAATCTCAGCCTCCCTGGAAGCTACAGATTCCATTGGCACTATCACTATCTGAAGGTCCAGCTGGCCTATGAATCCATGAGACTCCTTGCAGCTCCTTTTGTGCTAAATCTACATGCACCAAATCCTAAGGCTCCGGCGGCTCAAAAGTCCAAGCCATCCACTCCACAATATTCCATGGGAGCACCTTGCACCAGTGGAATCAAAGGGCAATCATTTCTTGTGGAGACTATCTTCACACTCAATTGGGCCTTTTGACTCACCATACAGCTTTGTTTCAGCCCTATAGTTACTTTTAAGCTCAACCACCTTGGGAAAGAGCTCCAGCGCAGCATCAAAGACATCGCCTGGGAACGCCGTGAAGGAGACTTAAAGCAGGCCAAACCCTCAGTGAGATCCTCCTCTGCCTCAAAAATCGGAAGGATGTAACTATTGTATATACATATATGTATCATATATCTCTCTCTCTCTCTCTTGTCACACACCCAGGATTTCCTTCCGACAAGAAGGCTTCATAGCTGCTCTGTGCCACATCTGCTTAGGAAAACCATTCAGCCAGCATGGCCATCCTTCCATGTGCTTGTTCTTGGGTAGGATCTCTGGGCCACCGAGCGCACAGCGACGGAGCTCTCAGGCTTTAGCGCTTCTCGGAACAGCTGGTGTGTCAACCAAAGACCTCCACAGGTCTCATCCAAAGCCTCGAGAAAACTCCAAATCCATGTGTGGGAAACCTGCTCAAGAGCTGGGGAGCAAACCTGAACAAGTCAACCAAATCGAACAAAGCCCCTCGGTCTTGAACAGTAAGTCCGAATGAGTATGAATGTTCACCTGTTTGTGGGAGGGGCAGCCTCACGCCAAGGCAAAGATGAAGGTGGCAATGCATCCCCAAGCCGGTCTCTAATCCAACTGATGACTTCTTGCCAGCCCACAGTGCCTCAGCTCAACATGTTGTGCGGGGAGAACTGAACTTTCACTGGTCAACTCAATTCCATCGGAGGCGGAGTTCCATACCCATTTAACATAATTTAACTATCTCCACCGCCATGCTTCTTGTCATGTCATCACCTTACTACCTGCAGCTTCCATGTAGCAAGAAAGTTCTGGGCCACTTTTCGCGGTGAACTCCGTTTCTTTGCTGTCCAATCCCTCAACCCGCGCTGCTGGCTCGGGCTACTGGCGCGGCCCACCATGCCATTGGCCCAGAAGAGGCATCGCTCTAAAATCTCGGGCCTCGCTGATGCAAGACCTCAGTTTCAACTTCGAACAAGACTTGAGATCCATGATGGGGCTACGCGTGGCCATAGGCACCAAAGAAGCTGGGCCGCGTACTACAAAAAGCGATCTTTATCTCGTCCTGCTCACTGACTATCCTGGACATCCTACTAATTCACCAGCCCAGCCACAAATATGGCATAGCCCAAGTGCAGCTGCACCCGAGGCCACCATGTCACCCGACAGCTCCGCGATCAAACGATCCCTGACTGACCGACCAAGCGGGCGTGGTGTGTAACTCACTAAAAATTGTACTTTCTACATGTATCTTGATGGTTTATGTGTGCGTGAGGGTTTAATGTATTTATATATAGATAGATGGATACAGTATATACTTCTGTGTGTCTGGCACGTTGCAACATGTCTGATAGACAGGAACTGGAACTGGGACCGACACACACACACAATAACCGTTTAACCTAAAGGGGGCATTTGTCTCCTCTACATTCTGCAACAAACATTGAAAAGGAACCCTACCCGAGCAAGTCCAAAGCTGGAGATTGATTAGTTGATGTAAGGTGGCCTCGCAAACAAGCAAATCTCTGACTTGGTGTCATGGCTTTGTACTTCCTTTTGTAGAGAGAGAGGGAGAGGTATCCGTCACAACTCTCGCACGCTGACCCCTCGTCTTCGTCCTTGGCCACGCATCCTCAGAGTCTCCGCGGGGAAAAACGCCAGTGCCGGGCCACTCCTGTCGCACATTTTGGCAAGGAAAGTGGGATGCGAGTTGGGTGTGATGGGGGTTTCCACCCTCCAGACATCATCTATCTCATGAACTATCTGTCTACCCGTAGGTTTCCCAAGTTTCAGGTCCAAAACTCCAAAGTCTCTCTGAAGTCTGCGCCAAAGCCCCACCTCATCCCCCACACACATCAACTCCAGGGCCAACGCCGCGGGCTCCGCCAAGTCGTGGGCTTCATCCCGGAGCCTTCAAAATCAGTAAGTCAGGTGCGTCTTGCTGGTTTGAGATCCACCAGTCTGGAGATGTTCATCCAAATCCATGCCGGAGCGGCTAGATGGAAATCATGGGAACAAGTAGTCAGGGACAAAAAGTCAAGTTGTTCAACAGCCTCTCAGCAACAAATACAGCTTGCTGACATGCCCTTCCAGTCATAGACCAGGGTACATGGGGTTGGCACATGGGTTGGTAGAGATGGAATACAAACAAAACACATGGTGTATTGCTCCCATGTGGGCTTTCTATGAATACTCCACAATAGGAAGTAGAAGAAGGGGAAAAGACCCGCTACAAATCTCCCCTTCACACATGATCGAAACAAGCCACGTAAAGTGAAGCGCCTAATTGAACGAAATTAAGATGGCAAATACAGCAAAGAGATCTCTGCTATGGACCTCTATCTGGTATGCTTCTTAACTTCTTAAATTGTCCTTGGATCTTCTGGCAGGTGATAATGCTATGTGGAAGTTCACACTTCAAAAATTGCACCGAGGATTTATGGAAATTGAATAGGCTGCAGAAGGGCCAATTGGTTTTATGCAAGGATGTTTTTGTTCCGAGAGTTGCGTAGAGGCAGCTTCGCAGGCATTTAGACGTTCAATGGCCTTCTGGCCAGCCACGGCAGCAAAACATAAGCGACTTCAGGTCGACCTCTGCTCCGTGTGGGAGCTTCCAAGGCCTGCAACGCTGTGAGGTTGGAAGTGGCCCCTTTCAAAATACTGTATCTCTAGGGTCATGTACTTTTCACAAAACGGAAAAATGCAATTCAGAAGACCATGGGGTCCGGTCAGAAGTCAAAGGATGCAGTCTGCAGATGTCTGCAGCATGTCACTGAAATGTGCCGAGGTCCGGAGGCCTGAATCGGAACAGTCACTGTGGTCAGCTCCTGAGATAGCGTCGGGTTTAGACTTCCCTGTGGGGAACAGCTACTAGAGAAGGTCACAAATGTTTAGAGTTACAATTGTATAAGGAGGACGCATCAATTCTTTTAGCAGCCAAGCTTAAAGTGGCCAATCAGTCCAACCCTGGCAAAGGACCAAGCTCTGATGCAGCCAACTTGCTGGATGCGTGAGGGCTACTTGATCTAAGCAGTTCTGCCAGAAGTGCGGAGCCAGGAGTCCTGCATATGATCCCACATCTCGTGGTTGCACGTGACGATCAATGATTTGTCACTATGATAATGCAAACTAGTGCTTGTCACAAACTCAGCAGTCCTTCTCCATCTCCAATGCCGGAAAATCGGTCTCCTTCCTTCAAGTAAAAACGGTGCCGCTCTGCAGGTCACAACGCTTGCACCCAGCAGTTGAACTAGACAAAACAGAACCTGTGTGCATTGCGTCTCCCTGCCACCACGGAGAACCAGTCCGAGTCCTTGCCATCTACCGACTCCTCTTCATCGACGTCCATCATCGCCAGGGGAAAATTTGAGAGCGGAGCATCCACGAGGCGAGGCCCATGATGCCCTGGTGGAGCGTAGCCAAAACAGCGTCATCCATTCAAACAAGACGACAACGTAAAACCTGCTTCTTTGAGGTCTTACCGACCTCCTCCTAATAGCAATGGCCTCCAACCCAAAACCAACAAGTTTGATATGTGGTTAATATTATGTAGAGCGGAAGTTTGGCAGCACTCGCTGGCCTAGCCTTCTCCGGCTTCTCTGAGGCTTGTGAGCCTGGGTTTCCACAAACAGCAGCCTGGTCCACTGGTGCCGACAGGTGCCCCAAGAACACAAGAGAACAAAGCACTGCTGGGAAATTATAACATAATGTGTATAATATGTATTTATATATATATATGTTGACAAAAGTGTTCTTCGGATGGCGCACCATTCTTGAACCAAGTTGCTGCTGCTCCTCCAAATCAGCCACCTGCTGTAGCAAACGGAGCCAATGCATCAAGTCTACTCCATATTTGAACTTGATCTTGTAGGCAAACTAGTTCTCAAGCACAAACTGCAGAACTCCGGGGAAATCACCGACATGTCGCCAAGGGGCCCATCGTCGAAAGTCTTTGTAATTCAACTCATCCTCAGAGTCTTGACCAGAGATCACTTCGATCAGCGGCGCAAGACCTGCCACATCAGGATATGCTCACTTTCCATACATGGATGAAGCCCAAAGCCTGGCCAAAGAAGGTGCAACACTTGTATACATGAAGGTTTGCATCCAGTGCCCCAGTGCGGCTCCTCTCATTTACATTGTTGCATGGAAGAGGCTCGCAAAGACCAAAACCCCCCCAAAGCACCATGACCACAAAGCGCACCCCAGGCCCGTCCGATCCAGAAACTCAAGCACCGCACCCTCCAGAACTTCATCGGCGCACACGGAGTCCAGTGAGTGCCTCAAAAGAGATGAGTCAACACCGATTGAAAAGCTTGCGACGACAACGGTCTTCGACGATCTTGTATGCTTCTGCACGTAATGCCGTGGACCCAAAGAATGATCCAAAGAATGATTCGATGAAAGATTAGGGAAGTTGAAAGGAAGGAAACTGTGCCAAGGTGTCAGGCACTCATGGCAAACTCCATGAGCAATTGCAAGGGTGCCTTGCTGACAAGGTACTGAACACGATGCAATTCTTTCAAGCACTCTGCCAGAGATGCCGAATCAGTAAGGTCATGAATTGCAATCAGAGCTTGGCCTGGAACACACCAAGAAGAGAGCTAGCGGTACAACATCTGGAACGGCGTGACACCTGTCGCAAAACCAAGAACTAGCAGAAATGCTGCCAACTCGGCAGCCGGCACATTTCTCCTGGCACTTTAACAACTAAAATTAAATCTTGCTTGATTGCTATGCAGCTGAGCTTCATGTAACAAGCGGCTGGTCTGACAAGAGAAGCAGTGAGACGGCACAGGGGTGACCAAGCAGTATCCCACCATGCCATGGCACGGCATCCACCACCTCGCAGAAGCATTGGCTGCGTAAGAAATGCAGCGGGAGCATGGCAGTCAATGCTCAAAGGCAAAACTTGCATTTCGTTTGAGCTCATTTGGTGTGAAAACTGAAGTGCATCCAAAATTATCAAACGCAAGTTATCAAACCTGGTTGTTCGGTGTGGCACTGGGTGAAACCCTACAGAAATTCGAGAGAAGCCGCTGGCGGAGCAGGCCATTGATGACTTATGGCAATTGCCTCTAAGTCCAGGATGGCAACCTCAGGAAACACAACTGCAGGCCTACGCCCAAGTGCACAGCTGCAGTCAAAGCATCATTGTTGCCCCAACATGCCCACACTGTGCAGCTTGCTCCGCATGATTGAAAAGATTTGAAAAGGAACAACCTACAGCCACCCTTCAGCTGCAGGCCCACGGAACACTGTGCAGACTTTCCACCCATGCAACTCCCAAGATTCCATCGAGGCGCGATTGAGTTACTTGCATAATCGCCTACAATGCTTGAATGTATTTATTTAAGGGCGGGCCAGAATAAAAGATCTCAAGGAAAAAATGCATCTCGGTGGCCGGTGGACTCGGCGGAGTCGATGCTCCGGCGCCATCGACGGGGCGAAGCTCCTCATCGCAGCGCGTGAAGCTCAGCACCCGGTCGTGGCGGAGGGTCATCAAATGCCCAAGAGCTGCCTGCATGTCCCGCGCAATGGTCCCAAACTGTCATCAATCAATTGTTCGGGTGCTGCCGGCTGCTGTCAGCATTGAAGTCTGAGCTTTGGTCGCTGTGAGTTTTGGTAGACGAGCCTTTGGAGGTGTGAATTGTTGGTACTGAAACTTGTTCAGTGTTACGGCCCGCTGGTTAAGTCGAGAATGTTTCATCACACTACAAGTCTCGTGATGCAAACAACAGCCACAAGCCACACCTTCCCCTCACCAGCAGCATTCTGGAAAATGAGGGTGCTCCTGATGCTTGCACAACGTAGGTGAAGTTCAGTCCGCAAAAGGGGGCGGGCAAATATTTTTCTGGATTGTGAATCAAACAAAAACTCTCGGAAAGCCGCGCCGTCCTACACGTCTGTGTGCAAGAAATTTACTTTGGAAACTCAGGCCCATCATTGCCTCTTAACAACACCACTACCAACAAAAGCACTGGACAACTTCCTGTTGTTCCTACGCTCACACAAGATTGCACCGTTGCGTTCTCGCAAAGTGGCTTCCATGTTTCGAAAGTGACACTTGCAACAACTCCAAACTCTAAACCTTGTGCGACTTTTGCCAGCCAAATAGATGACAAGGAATCCAAAATTTCACCTAAAGTAACCGAGTGTTTTGTCAAGGTATTTTCCAGGCTTTGCTTTCCGATGTCCTGCTTAGTACGAACCAACTCTTGTACGCACATGCGTCCTACCAAGGCGTGTCGCATTTTCCCCAATCCTAGGTGCTTTGCGAGCCCCCAAAGAATCACACCACACGCGAGGAGTCAAACCAAAACTATCCTTTGCTGCGCTTAGAAGTTTGGCCAGATTGAATCAAGGATCGGACTTCTGCCTCGCTGGAACTGGTCCCAATCCTCTCATCTCGGAGTCCTTTACTCCGTAACCATTGGTGCCATCCATGTAGTTTACAGTAATTGGAAATCACAACTGCAAAAGGCCAACGGGAATCCTTGTCAACGGCGGCCAGTCACAACATTACCTGAGTCCGCTTCCTGTAGGCTGGCTACCTTTGCCTTTGCCTTTCGGCGCTCGTCCTTTACCTTTTTTGCTCCTATATCCATGGGAGCTCCCCTTGGCCTGGGTATTGCCATTGTCCCAAACTGTCCACCTTGCGGTCTCTTCCAGAGGCTGCGTGCGCCCAAATAATGTTCAATGTATGTATGAACTTTGTTGCACGAATCCAGTGACTCAGCTTGTTGCAGGTCGGGGCAACGTGAACCGACACTGACAATTTCTCATCTTCGTCGATCACTTTCTTGAACTGCCAATCAAATTCCCGGATTCCCATTGGTAAAACGCCTTGGCTGTGCTACCAACACGTATTTCCAACGTTCCCAACTTGCTTAGATCAAACACGGGATGTTCAGGGATGTTTCTGGAATCCACTATGTTGGTTTTGGCTGCCTGGGAGCTACTGGCCCTTGGTTCCAACACTGCGTTCAACCCGTTGTTTGTTACACTTGCTCTGCTCGGCCCAAGGCTTGTTGCAAATTTGCTTGCTGCCGGGTCAACAGTGCAACTTGAGTTTGAAATGCTTGCATTGCATCCTCTCTTGGGAAAAGTCACATAACAACACTGAGTGACTTGGACAAAAAGGTTTTGTACGCTGCCGATGCTACGACTCAACTAAGTACAGTTAAAATTGAATTAGGAAACGTGCGAAGCAACTGGCACTCAAGCGACATTCCCCACAGAAAAGGTGCTTTTCCTCGCCCCACTTCCTGCACCTCACGGTGTCATGTTGAAATCAACTGAGAGTTCCCACGCTGGGGTTGTAGCCTACCTACGCTGGGCGCAGCGCTTGCCAAAGAGGGACTGCACCTTGTGGGCAAACTGTACCTCGTGGTTGGGGCGTAGCTTTCCGCAACTATTTCCACACAGTGCACCAGCTCCAGGTTGCTGCTTCCTACCCATGCCGAGGATGATGAAAACGCCGCCTCACTTTGTGCTTGAAGGTAGCGTGCGGCTTGACCGGGATGGCGGCTCCAAACTCGGGGACGTGCTGTGCTTCCCCGTCTTGGGCCTTTTGTGTTGAGGCTGTCTTCCCAATGCCTAGCTATGCCTCACAGCAACCTTCTCTTAACCGCTGCTGCGCTCCTTGCAAGCTGCTACGCCGGGGAAGATTTACATGGAACCTGAAAATGGACCTTTGCATGACTATTTTCCTCTACACCCCAATGGTCTTCAGGTTCCATGTTAATCTTCCCGGGCGTACTCTTGCTGGCAGCTCCTTTGCCACTGCCTGACGACGTTGTGACGGTGGCCGATCGGCCCTGGAGCTCAATCAGCTCCGCTAAAATGCGAAGCGGGCGTGGTCTTTTTACTTGAGCCACAAGGGCCGTGCGCATTGGGCTCACAAATATACAAGCCGTACAACACAAGCGTTCCAACTTTGGTTAGGGGATTTCTTTGCGAACGGATGGAAAGGTGTGCCCTGGCCCCGTTCTAGCCCTTAGTTCAACATGAAGCTCGCGCGCTAAAGCTCCTTTTTACCTGGTTGGGCACTTGAGCCAAAAGTATATGGCATGTACCTGTATAGCGACTATACTGGGACCTCATCCCTATTGACACCCCCCTCATCCGTACTTCGACGGGAAAGGGAGATGAGTGGATGTAAAAAACCGGAGAACAAATCATGTTCTCAGAAGTGTATTGGAGGTCAACCAGTACGTCCTATTGAGCTGAATTAGCAAACGATCTTGCTTTCGTTTGAAAGTTGGATCAAACAGGTAATGGAGCTACAAACGGAAAACGTGCATCTACCTATGGTATCATGCGATTACCAACGGTGTGAAACACAATCCTCTCTCACTCCCATGATGCCAAAACGGTCATCATGAATTACCCAAGATCCCTCAGTACTTGAAGTACCGGAAGTAGTATGTCGGTATGACCCCAATGCTCAACCATTCGTGAGTTGTCGCATGTAGTCAGCTCCGACAAAGCCAATGTAGTCCTTGATGAGCTCAACGTTCCTTGGGTTTCCCCTTCGGATCTGCTCCTCGAAGAACTTCAACTTCTGTGCTTGAATATCGGATACCTCTATGCCATAGTAGCGGCATGCAACGAGGATCTCCTTTGTGACATTCTTCCGCTCCGATTTGATGGCGGGACTAATGTCAATGAATTTGTATGGAGCGGCACTTTCGTCGTCTGGTTTCTGGTAGTAACTATATCGGCTCGCTCCGAAAGTCTTCCTGATCAAGCGTCTGATGAAATTTGAGATGAATGCCAGTTTCTCGATGATCTCTTCCTGGGTCTCAGACCTTCGAGCCTTTGGATCACTCATGTTACGCCGAGTGCTGCCGACCTCTTTGAGGTACTTGTGGCTAAGCCCGCAGCGGATTGCAGTGATCATCATCGGGTGAACAACGTGGGCGTGGAATTCATAGATCTGCCACGCTTCTGTTGCATACACGTCGTTGGTCCATTTGCTCATGCCTACGACCTCGGCTCTCTGGAGGCGTCTTGGAAACCCAGTATCCGGATCATTCGGTACTATTGGCCATCTATTGTATGGAGTATCATGCCGCTGTCCATCGTCAAACTTTCGCAGTACGTCTTCACGACTCTCAAAGCAGTTGATGTCGAACGTTGCGTTGGCCAAGCTCTTGATCAACTTCATCAACCTCAGATCAAATTGCTGTGTGACTGCAAAGTTGTGGTCGATGGGGATCGCAGCTTCTTGTGGCAATTCGTCAATTGCGAAGGGGAAAGGCTGTGGAAGTTCATTCCCGTATCCGTCTTGAGGGACCTCCCGATATTCGGGTTCGCCTTCAGCTTCGTCCGGTCGTTCCTTCAAAATGATAGGAACTTCCTCCTCTTCCTCTCCTTCGGATTCCTCGACCTCAATGACCTCTTCGGCTGTCTTGCGCGCGTTCTTGATGACTTCGTCGATGTTCGCACCCGCAGCAGAAGTTGCTTCACCGGAAGAACTGGCTGGGACATCCCTCGGAGGTGATCGTTGATTGCGGTCCCTTGTCTCCTTGGGTACCACATGCGTGAGCTTCCCATTCGCGATCAAAACCGCTACGCAGTGCGGACATATCGTCAATCGTACATCGACTTCGCCAAGACAGTTAGGACACGGTCTTGAGTCATAGTCTTTCATTGCTCGGCGGTACACGATCTCCTCAAAGATTTCCTGCCACTCGGTGCTATCATATTCTGGGTAGACACCACTCTCCTCGATCATGCCCAACAGCTTTGAGATTTTGGCGTCGTCCTCGGAGTAGGTATCGTCCTGAACCTCAACCGCTAAACTCTCAAGCTTTTGGTAGCGTGGAATCATGATCGGGTTTCCGTATTTGGACTCCAGAACAAGGTAGCTTCCAGGGTCGGGTTCTCTATTGAGTAACCGGATCCATTCGATCTCCTCAGGCTGTCCGGGTTCCGCATTGTCGCATTGCAACCATGCCCCTTTAACCTCATCGAAGGGAACGACGTCCTCAACCAATAGAGATCCAGTCGCTGAGATGAGAAGTCCGTACTCCTGCAGCTTCCACACCAGAATGTAGAGAACCACTGGGCGATCACTCAATGCGACCTTACGACCCAGCCAAGGTTTTCCCTTGTAGCCCTGCTCCCAGGCCCATGGCGGAAAACATGTGAAGTGGATAGAATCCCTTCCCGATGAGCCGAGACCTCCTGGCACTAGCCCTCGTCGCATGATTGAATTCAGCGCTCCAAGATTGGTAGCGTGAAATGCAGTCACCATAGATAGGGCCATGTCGTTGGTCATTCTCGATCCAATGTGGTCGATGTTGATGGTAACGTCATAACCCCCGCCGTCCGTTGAGTGTGCTGAGGTTGCTCTTACGGCCACGGGAAAGCACCACCCATCGCTATGGTGGAGTCTTCCTTTGGAGATTCCCATGCCCTTGAGTTCGTCAATCCATTCCTTCTCCATCGGGTCATCAGGGTCATTGAGTTCATCAGGGTGAACACGGACCGCCAACATTTGGAATCTGATCCTCTTGGTTATGCGGAAACACTCATAGTTCTGGTCGAAGTACTTCTCCAAACGCGCCTTCTTGGTCACGATGTCTATGTTGCCATAGTGATAACCGTCTTCCCAAACTGCGTTATCACCTAACAGGTCTTCCCACGACACCCATGCGCCTTCATCGCATTTGATTGGTGTTAGTCTTCCTCCTGTCCTGAACTGGCGTCCAATTCGATGCCTCAACTTCACTCCCAATCGGCGACTCAGGGCCTGGCTCGCTTGGCTGTATTCAGGTACTCGAC